CTCCGTGCTGGCAACTTCAGGTGATGAGAACGAGTGACACTATGCACTTACCAGAAGCACATAATAAATGCGCATTAAAGATGTATCCATAAAGGGTCATCTGGGTCTGGTCTAGGGCTGCAGGGTCATCAAGCTCAATGTGGACACATGGGATGAAACTGGTCACACTCCGCTCATATACCCATCAAGCTCCAAGATCTCAGCATAAAGGGACACTCCAGGTCCTAAAATGGTTCCACCTTGCAGGGCTCGTAAATAACTTCTTTGATTTGTTCCTCCAAGTGAATCCTCTGTACCATCCTTCATATGTCTCAAATTTCTGCACTGTATCTCCCACCTGTAAGGTTAGTTCTTAATTTTTTGCTTGAAAGTTGTAGATGGGTAAGCCACAGAGCCACATCACGGCACCCTGATAATCTGTGGTCCTAGCTCTACAATTTCTGAGAATTTCTCAATGGCAATGGTTCCGGATGGTGGTGTAATGGTGTGGGGGATAATTTCTTGCTACTGGCAAGGTGTACCTAATAAAGTGGCGGTGAGTGTATACATGTACATATATATTATATTATATATTGTTACTGAATGTGGCAAAAGTATTTGCCGTTTCCATACACAAATTAGTGCTGCAAACTCCCAACTCTTTTTTTAGCACTTTGACAGTAAAAGGTAAATTGCTGTTTTTGAGCCTTTAAATGTGCTTTCTTCAACACAGTATGAGATTTAGATCTGTGAACATAAACATTTAGAAATATGCCAGGGGTGTTTTCTTATAACTTGTGTTTTGAGGAGGGATTGTCAAGATAATTAAAATGACAGAATGGTGAGGATCTTAGTGACTTCCTAGCAGAACAAGGATTTACTGTTGCATTGTGTTACTGTTGCATAGAATACCACAAATTTATATTTATTGAAAGTTCACGTTTTACTTTTTGTTATGCTTTTGTCTTGTTGGTGACAGGAAAGAATTACAGGAACTTCAGAAACTTTACAAACAAAGCAATGAGCATGCGGCACAACAAGCTGATCTTATACAGCAACTTCAGGCACTCAATGTGGACACACAGAAAGTACTAAGAAGCCAAGAGGATGCTCACACTACTGAGACTATCTCGTATCAGAAAGTATGTTTTACATTCTTTAACACAGAAATATAGGTTACTTTAGTATGGTATGACCTCTGGTCTCTGCATTTTATAAGAAATTCAGTAAACCCAAACTGAATGGTGCCCAGTAAACAACAACCTAATCTATGCCAAAAATTATTCCAGAAAAGTTCACAAGAAAGTCCCTTTTGTATAATGTAATATAGTGTTATGTGAAAACTGTCAGGGCACGAGGTTAAGCTCCACATACACCTCAGCTGCTGCTCCTCTCTGAGATCCTGTCGAATTTCCAGCTCACAGGCACGAGAGCCCTGGAGGACTATATAGCTCTTAACATTGAACCCCTGTTTGCATTAATCAAAATGAAGGTACAAACCTTGAGTAGGCTCCCACTTGGTGTCATGGGGAGAATAAATCTAATTAAGATTATATATATTATTGCCCAAAGTACTCTATATCTTTTGGCACGCCCCCATGTACATACCATTAAAATTCTTTAAGACTATAGACTCCTTTCTGAACACTTTTCTGTGGGGTAATGGTAGGCATAAATTACAATGGCTGGCATTGACAAATCCAGTGACTTTTGGGGCTCTGCTAGACTTCAATACCTATTATCTGGCTGCCCGACTCTCTCATTTCTACCATCTGTGTAAGTCAGATCTTACAAGGTATCAAACCTTGGATTGTAGACGACTTGACCACCCAGCCTGCACACCCCTGCAATCTATCATGCGTGGGGGTGTGGCCCTTGTTCTTTGCGATGTAGAGATGGTTTCCTTCTCTATCACCAATGTGTCTGGGAACTGGCCTTGCATAGGATTGGCGCCCCCACATTCCATCTCCATACCCCTTTGTGGTAGAAAAAAACGCCTACTGGAAGTACTCTCTGTCCTGAGTCAGTTACTGTGGGCTTCCCACGGTATTTTGTATGTCCACCAGGTCTTGACTGCTACTGGCCCTAAGACCTTCCAGGCCCTGAAGGATACATTTTCTCTTCCTTACTGCTGTTTCATTACCTACAACTCCGCCATGCCTTGCAGAGCCTATCCGATACTCTCCCGGTGCCACTATTGGATGTCAATTTGGGAACAGATCCCACTAAGTTGACATCATATTTATATAATAGTACATATATTATATAATACCTATGCCCTCTGCCACCAAATTGGCATACCATGTTAAGAATAGGTGGGAAGTAGATCTAGGTGCCATGGAAGACGTGGATTGGCAGGAAATTTTAGATAATTATAAACTAGTCTCCCCAAATGTCTCTGACCGGTTATTGCAATTGTATATCTTGCACAGAGCCTACCCTTCCCCTGTCCGCATAACTAGATACTGCCCCTCTCGTAGTCCATTATGCTTGCTTTGTTCTACTACACCAGGTACATTTTATCATTTGATCTAGGCATGTCCAATTCTACAAACATTTTGGATTTTCAGGTGATATGATTCTAACATGAAGATATGGGCTCCACATTATCCCTGGATAACAATGCCTGTTCAGTCTTATCCCAGAAAAAAACAAATCCAGGCTCTGACATGATAAGGGGATCAAAATACTTATTTCCCTCATTGAACATGCAAATCCAGTGCATAATTTGTTTAGACATGCATTTCTTTTGAATTTTTTGTTGCTACTCCTCTCTCTCTGTGTTACAATACACCTACAATTCTATTTTTTTATTTATTTCTATTTTTACAGACCAATCATTTGCTTTGTGAGTGGGCAAAACATTCAAAATCAGTGCAGGGGATCAAATACTTATTTCCTTCACTGTATATATATACAGTGGGGCAAAAAAAGTATTTAGTCAGTCACCAATTGTGCAAGTTCTCCCACTTAAAAAGATGAGAGAGGCCTGTAATTGGCAATCATAGGTAGACCTCAACTATGAGAGACAAAATGAGAAAAAAAATCCAGACAATCACATGGGGGCTGGATTTGGAAAGAATTTATTTGCAAATTATGGTGGAAAATAAGTATTTAGTCACCTACAAACAAGGCAAGATTTCTGGCTCTCCAGACCTGTAACTTCATTCTTTAAGAGGGCTTTCCTCTGTCCTGCGCTCATTACCTGTATACAATGGCACCTGTTTGAACTTGTTATCAGTATAAAAGACCACCTGTCCACAACCTCACCCTCAAAACAGTCGCACAATCCAAACTCCACTATGGTGAAGATCAAAAGAGCTGTCGAAGGACACCCAGAAACAAAAATTGTAGACCTGCACCAGGACTGGGAAGACTGAATCTGCAATAGGCAAGCAGCTTGGTGTGAACAAATCAACTGTGGGAGCAATAATTAGAAAATGGAAGGACATACAAAGACCACTGATAATACTCTGTTATGGAATGACTGGCCAGCAATGGTGGGACATCACCTGCCTTTTGATCTGCAGTACCAGGGCTGGCCAGCGGGTGCTTCCCAGCAATCAGAGACCTCAACCTTTCAGCCAGCTAACACACCTTGGAACTGATGATACTGGTGTATTTTAAAGGGATGGCCAGACTTGCAGACTCTGCCTTGGTGTTGTGTTTGCTCCTGGGCCCCTGTATCTGTCCTGCAATCCTGTTCTCTGTTCCTTTGCTGACTTCTCCTGCTCTGATCCTGGCTTGTGACCCGGACCATCCCTCTGCCTGACCCTCTGTACTATGCTGCTTGCTACCTGCTGAACCTGGCCTGTGACCCCGACCATTCTCCGCTTGCTCTCCCCTTCGTGTACTACCTGCCTCCCAATTGATTTTTGACCCGGCCTGCCCTGACGACGCTTGCTTGTATGTACTGTTATCTGTGGGTGGTTTGGTTTGGTTTGTTTAAGCTCTATGTATTTATGTTTTTAGTATTGCACTGCGTTTTATGTTTGTACTGTTTGTGTTAATAAATTATATCTTTTGTTTATAACCATACCTGAGGTCTGCGTTTTCCCTGCTTCAGTCAAACAACACCTCTGGTTTCATACCTGGGAGAGCCCTGACATTACACCAAGGCCCAATCCTGACAGAAGTGGCTGCACAGGGGAAGCCATCTTTGGCTTGTTGAGGGAAGGATGATCATGGATGAGGTTGTGATATTTATCTCTGCTAGTGTTTGATGACAGGGAGTATGCTTATCAAAACCTCTGAAGGAGTATTCCCCCACAGGGATGAATTGCTAGAATGTATACGGCTCGCTCATGTTCTAGTAGATCAGGGCACAGTGTTTCTCTGAGGTGCAGCCATTGATTTGAGGTTTGTGCAGAGTTGGTTTCAAATCTGTTCCCCCACGAATGCAGGGATGATTTTTGCCACCATTTAGTGCAGACTCAGGTAGAGTCCCTGGTGTGGTTATTAGAGGATGATGTGGGTTACTTTCTGGAGCGTTATTCTGCATGTTCACCACAGACAATAAGAGATTGTATAAACGCAGTGCAGTCCATTGACCAGACAGGCTTTGTGTAAGTCTCAGCTTTGTTCAACCATACTGCAGACATGGACAGATTTGTTGCACCCCAGCCTTCCGTCAGCTTACAAAGACCCTGTCCTGCTTCTAACTCTACTCACTGTATTCCCACCAGCTCCTCCTGCCCTGCTATGCTACCGCATGTCAGTACCCTGTTCCCACTCGCTGCATCTCCTATCCTGCCTTAACCTGTAAAAAGAGCCCTCTGTAGCAACTGCTCCCTCTCCTGTTCCATCCTCCAGCTTTTCTCTGTCTCCACAGCTGCTCCATTCGTTTGCAGACCTGCGTTTACTTGCAGTGCTCCCAGTAGTTAAAACCAGAAAAAAGCGAAAAACATTCTTCTCCAACCAATACCATCCTGCCAGTATATCCAAACCGGTGAACCAGCCATGAAAGCCATCTACTCAGCCTGAAGCCTCTACTCAGCATGAAAGCCTCTACTCACTGCCTGAAGCCTTGCTACTCAGCCGGATGCCTGCATTCAGCACTGATGCCGCTATCTCAGCCATGATGAACTGATTCCAGCCCACGACGATTCCTATTAGGCCAGTTGACTCGATGCCCGCTGTTGATCCAGATGATCCGGTATCTGATACCTGTGCCCGCTGTCGTGCCAAATTGACTCACGAGCCCGCTGTATTAACCTGGTGACCCGGTGCCACTGCCTTAGCCAGATGGACGCGGTGCACGCTGGCAAGTCAAATGACCTGATAGCCTGGTGACCAGTGCCCGCTGTCATACCTGGTGACCCGATGCCCGCTGTCGAGCCAGACGATCACGGTAACCTGATGCCCCGGTGCTCACTGTCGTTGCCTGTTGACTCGGAGCCCACTGCCTTGCCAGATGACGCGGTGCCCGCTGTCGAGCCAAATGACCTTGATGCCTGGTGACCCAGTGCCCGCTGTCAAGTCATGCTCGATCCAATGTCGGACCCAGTGCCTGCGGTTCATACCAGTTGACTCGGAGCCCACTGCCTTGCCAGATGACGCGGTGCCCGCTGTGGAGCCAAATGAACCTGATGCCTGGTGACCCGATGCCCGCTGTCCAGCCAGGGGTCCATACAATGTCTGACCCAGTGCCTTGCGGTCATACCAGTTGACTCGGAGCCCACTGCCTTGCCAGATGACGCGGTGCCCGCTGTCGAGCCAAATGACCATGATGCCTGGTGACCCGATGCCCGCTGTCCAGCCAGACCATACAATGTCGACCCAGTGCCTGCGGTCATACCAGTTGACTCGGAGCCACTGCCTTGCCAGATGACGCGGTTTGCCCGCGGTCGAGCCAAATGACCTGATGTCCTGGTGACCCGATGCCCGCTGTCCGGTCAGACGAATCCAATGTCTGACCCAGTGCCCGCGGTCATACCAGTTGACCTCGGAGCCCACTGCCTTGCCAGATGTACGGCGGTGCCCGCTGTCGAAGCCCAAATGACCTGATGCCTGGTGACCCGATGACCGCTGTCCAGCCAGATACCATACAATGTCTGAGACCCAGTGCCTGCGGTCATACCAGTTGACTCCGGAAGCCCACTGTCGTGCCTGGTGAGACTCCGGTGCCCGCAACGCTCCGCCTGGGGGGCCCGAGACCTGTTGCTCCGCTTGGGGGTCCAGCGCCCGCCGCTCCGCCTGGGATCCTGGCGCCCGCCGCCTCCTCCCCTGCGGGCCCGAGACCTGTCGCTCCACCTGGGGGTCCGGCGCACCGGCTCGCTCCGCCTGAGGGCCCGAAGACCTGTCGCTCCATACTGGGGGTCCGGCGCCCGCCGCCGCCGCCTGCGGGCCCGAGACCTGTCGCTCCACCTGGGGGTCCGGCGCCCGCCGCTCGCTCCGCCTGAGGGCCCGAGACCTGTCGCTTCCACCTGGGGGTCCGGCGCCCCGCCGCTCCGCCTAGAGGGCCCGAGACCTGTCGCTCCTCCTGGGGGTCCGGCGCCCGCCGCTCCGCCTGAGGGCCCGAGAACCGTGTCGCTCCGCCTGGGGGTCCGGCGCCCGCGCGCTCCGCCTGAGGGCCCGAGACCTGTCGCTCCACCTGGGGGGTCCCGGCGCCCGCCGCTACGCCCTGAGGGCCCCGAGACCTGTCGCTCCACCTGGGGGTCCGGCGCCCGCCGCTCCGCCTGAGGGCCCGGAGACCCTGTCGCTCCATCTGGGGGTCCGGCGCTCCCGCCGCTCCGCCTGAGGGCCCGAGACTGTGTCGACTCCTCCCTGGGGGTCCGGCGCCCGCCGCTCCGACCGCTCTGAGGGCCCGAGACCTGTCGCTTCTCGCCTGGGGTTTCTCGGCGCCCGCCGCTCCGCCTGAGGGCCGGAGACCTGTCGCTCCACCTGGGGGGGTCCGGCGCCCCGCCACGCTTTCCGCCTGATGGGCCCGAGAACCCTCTCGCTCCATCTGGAGGGGTCCGGCGGGCCCGCCCGCCTCCGACATGGGGGCAACGATGCCTGTCGCCTGCCGACTGGGGGCGACGGTGCCTGTCGGCCCCGCGCTGGGGGCACGGTTGCCTGTCGCACCTCCTGGGGGACCGGTTGCCTGTCGCCCCGCATGGGGGCCCGGTGCCTGTCGCCGCCGCCTGGGGCCGGTGCCTGTCGCCGCCCCTGGGGGCCCGGGTGCCCTGCCGCCACCGGCCCGGGGCCCCGGTGCCCTGCCGCTCCAGCCCGGGGGCATTGGTGCCTGTAGCCCCGACCCGGGTGCCCGGTGCCTGCTGATCCGCCAGGGGGCTCTGGTGCCTGCTGCTCCGCCCTGGCTGGCCCGCTGCCTGCTGCTTCGCACTTGGTAATCCGGATGTGCCTCTGCCCGGAGTCCGTGCCCCAATGTGCCTCTGGCCCGGAGTCCTGCGCCCGATGTGCCTCTGCACGGAGTCCCTGCACGATGTGACTCTGCCCGGAGTCCTGCCGATGTGCCTCTGCCCGGAGTCCTGGCCCGATGTGCCTCTGCCCGGGGAGTACTGCACGATGTTGACTCTGACCGTGTCCTGCCGATGTGCCTCTGCCCGGGTCCTCGACGATGTGCATTGCCCGGAGTCCTGCCAGATGTGCCTTCTGCCCGGAGTCCCTGCCCGAATGTTGCACACCTACTGCCCGGCAAGAGTCCTGCCCGATGTGCATATGCCGGGTCTGTGCCTCTGCCCGGAGTCCTGCCCAAATGTGCCCCGGGCCCGATGGCCCTCCCCGGGAAAGTCCGGCCCGATGTGCCTCTCCCCGGTGGGGCCTCGCTCGAGGGTGCCCTCCCCGGAGCCAGCCCGGTGTCCCGCCCCCGGGAAAGTCCGCCCGGTGTGCCATTTTTGATATCCCCCCCATTTGCCAGCCCCCGGGCCGGGGGAATTTATTTTGCCCAGCTAGGACGGTTTGGAGCGTCCTGAGGCCGCCCCTTTGGGGGGGGACTTTGGGAAAGGGAAACCTGGCCAGCAATGGGGACTAACCTCCCTTTTGTTGGGATCCCGGGGGCCTTTTTTTTTTAACCCAGGCCTTGGGCCCCAACCCGGGGGTTTGGGCTCCCAAAGCAATCAGAAACTTCAAAACCTTTTCAGCCAGCAACACCTGGAACTGTTTGATACGGGGGTATTTAAGGGAAAGGCCAGACTTTCCCAGATTTCCCCCTTTTGGGGGTTTTTGTGTTTGCCCCGGGCCCCTGTATCTGTCCTGCATACTGTTTCTGTTTCCTTTGCTGACTTCCTCTGCTCTGAATCCTGGCTTGTGACCCGAGACCATCCCTCTGCTGACCCTCTGTTACTATGTGCTTGCTACCTGATAACCTGGCCTGTGACCCCGACCATTCTCGCTTGCTCCCCTTTGTACCTACCTGCCCAATTGATATTGACCCGGCCTGCACTGAAGACGCTTGCTTGTTTTCTTGTTGTTTATTTGTGGGGGGTTTGTTTGTTTGTTGTTGCTTGTGGCTTGTTTTTTGTTTAGTTATTGCACTGCGTTTATGTTTGTACTGTTGTAGTGTTAATAATTTATTTGTTTATAACATTACCTGAGGTCTGCGTTTCCCTGCTTCAGTCACACACCTCTGGTCAAACCTGGGAGCCCTGACAATCTCCCTCAGATCTGGGGCTCCACGCAAGATCTCACCCGTGGGGCAAAATGTTCACAAGAATGGTGAGCAAAAATCCCCAGCACCACCACGAGGGGGACCTAGTGAATGACATGCAGGATATGGGAACCAAACAAACAAAGGCCCCATCATAACACACTACCCGCCGGGACTCAGATCCTGCGTGCCAGACGGGCCCCCCCGCTTTGCCAGTACATGTCCGGGCCCCGTCTGAAGTTTGCAGGCATTTTGGGTGTCCAGAAGAGGATTGGGGGAAAAGCATAAGGCAGATGAAACCCAAAAAAGAACTGTTTGGGGAAACCAACCGCGTGGGTTGGAGGGGAGAGAATGCGAGTTGCTCCCAAAAAACCCATACCTACTGGAAGCATGGGGGTGGAAATCTGCTTTGGGGGTGTTTCTCCCCAAAAGGGCCAGGGTGATGATCCATGTACGGGCAGAATGATGGGGGATTATCGTGAGATTTTGATGCAACCTCCTTCCATCAGCAAGGGATTGAAATGAACGTGGCTGGGTCTTCCAACATGCATGATCCCAAAAAATACCCCCCCGGCAACAAGGGGTTTTGGGTTCGTAAAAGTTTAAGGGCCTGGAGTGGCCCAGCCAGTCCCAGATCTCAACCCATAGAAAACCTTTGGAGGGAGTTGAAAGTCGTGTTGCCCAGCGACAGCCCCCAAAACATCATGCTCTAGACGGTGTCTGCATGGGAGGAATGGGCAAAATACCAGCAACAGTGATGTGCCATACCTTGTGGAAGAACTACATGGAACCATTTGACCTCTGTCATTGCCAACAATAGAGATATATAAAACAAGTATTGAGATGAACTTTGATATTGACCTATAATAATTATTTTTTCACACCATAATTTGCAAATATAATTGCTTTCCAAATCAGCCAATGTGATTGTCTGGATTTTTTTTCTCAATTTTGTCTCTCGATAGTTGAGGTCTACCTATGATGCCAATTACAGGTCCTCTCTCATCTGTTTAAGTGGGATGGGAGAACTTGCTACAATTGGTAGGCATTAACTAAATACTTTTTTGCCCCACTGTGTATGGAATGTATAGGTATATATAAACCTATAATAATATTCATTATCTGTATTTTTACCTTTATGTCTTAGTCTCTAGTCGAACACTCCTTTTTCATCTAATTGGATGGTATCCTGATGAATAATTGTCGTCTATTTGGTAAGTATGTCGAATGAACATTTTGTTTTCCATTATATATGTATTGTATTTACAATGCGCTTCAATAAAACTGTTTTTTTCCAACATAAACAATAAATCTCCAACTGACACAAAAAGAAAACAAAACAGAGAGTGGCAATCTATGTATATCGAAAGAAAATATTTTAATAAACACCATAAATGTAAAATGCCATAAAAAACTGGATGATCTCCACTCTGTTTCAGCTGGGAAGCCTGAAAGGGCAGAGCTGTCAGCTGTTAGAGGAATTCCACAATAAAGTAAACCAAGGTGCCACATCCCTAATATGTAAGATACAATAAAAAAATTCCAACAGTTTGGATTTTTTTAGGCACCAAAATGAAAACAAAGTTATAAAACACATAAATACATTTATTGAACATTTCATAAAACATTGATTAAAGTCACAAGGCGGATTAGATAGTTGTACAATATGTCTATAGAAGCAGCTATCAGCACACTTTTCACAAAGTATTTAATACTTTCTTTACAACAGACTTTGACCCGACATGTTTTATTTTTAAAAGAATCTACATCAGAGAAAAGATGGGTGGACAGTTCTGTAATATAAAATGCATATATCAAGAAAACCAGAAACTGCACAGCAAGTGCTTGACATTAAATGAACATGCAACAGTGACATACTTTGCCAAACTTTACAGGATACAAATGATCAGTCAGAAATGAAAAAAAATGCTAATTTCCATAAGGCTGTTGGTGACCCCCATAATGGACAGACACAAGGAATCAGCACCAGGAATTCCTCCTTAACATACAAAAAGATATACGTAAATACATATTTATAAAAATTATCAGGTTAGTAGGTAAATGTTGATATGATCCTAATATAAAAATGATATGGATAACCTATGATATGATCCTAATATAAAAAATGCTGAGGGTCTTACCCAAATGGAGGGGAGATTAATAA